ATACTCAGGATAGTGTTTAACTGGGAAGTCCAAAACACAGACACGATATAGTGATAATCAGGGTAGTGTTTTACTGGGTAGTACAAAACACAGACACGATATAGAGATATTCAGGATAGTGTTTTACCGGGTAGTCCAAAACACAGAGACGATATAGTGATAATCAGGGAAGTGTTTTACCGGGTAGTCTATATCACAGTCATGATATAGTGATACTCAGGATAGTGTTTTACTGGGTAGTCCAAAACACAGACACGATATAATGATATTCAGGGTATTAGTCCAAAACACAGAGGCGATTTAGTGATAATCAGGCTGGTGTTTTACTGGGTATTCTATACCACAGACACGATATAGAGATATTCAGGATAGTGTTTTACTGAGAAGTCCAAAACACAGAGACGAGATAGTGATAATCAGGGTTGTGTTTTACTGGGTAGTTCAAAACACGGAGACGATATAGGGATAATCAGGGAAGTTTTTTACCGGGTAGTCTATATCACGGTCATGATATAGTGATAATCAGGGTAGTGTTTTACTGGGTAGTCTATACCATAGACACGATATAGTGATAATCAGTGTAGTGTTTTACTGGGTAGTCCAAAACACAGACACGATATAGAGATATTCAGGTTAGTGTTTTACTGGGTGGTCTATAACACAGACACGATATAGTGATAATCCGGGCAGTGTTTTACTGGGTAGTCCAAAACTCAGAGACGATATAGTGATAATCAGGGTTGTGTTTTACTGGGCAGTCTATACCACAGACACGATATGGAGATATTCAGGATAGTGTTTTACTGGTTAGTCCAAAACACAGAGACGGTATAGTGATATTCAGGGTAGGGTTTTACTGGGTAGTCCAAAACACAGAGAGAATATAGTGATAATCAGGGTAGTGTTTTACTGTGTAGTCCAAAACACAGAGACGATATAGAGATATTCAGGATAGTGTTTTACTAGGTAGTCCAAAACACAGACACGATATAGTGATACTCAGGATAGTGTTTAACAGGGAAGTCCAAAACACAGACACGATATAGTGATACGCAGGTTAGTATTTTACTGGGTAGTCCAAAACACAGACAGGGTATAGAGATATTCAGGATAGTGTTTTACTAGGTAGTCCAAAACACAGACACGATATAGAGGTATTCAGGATAGTGTTTTACTGGGTAGTCAAAAACACAGAGACGATATAGTGATAATTAGGGTAGTGTTTTACTGGGTAGTCTATACCATAGACACGATATAGTGATAATCAGTGTAGTGTTTTACTGGGTAGTCCAAAACATAGACACGATATAGTGATATTCACGATAGTGTTTTACTGGGTAGTCCAAGACACAGACACGATATAGAGATATTCAGTATAGTGTTTTACTGGGTAGTCCAAAACATAGACACGATATAGTGATATTCACGATAGTGTTTTACTGGGTAGTCCAAGACACAGACACGATATAGAGATATTCAGGTTAGTGTTTTACTGGGTGGTCTATAACACAGACACGATATAGTGATACTCAGGATAGTGTTTAACTGGGAAGTCGAAAAAACTGACACGATATAGTGATAATCAGGGTAGTGTTTCACTGGGTAGTCCAAAACTCAGAGACGATATAGGGATAATCAGGGTAGTGTTTTACTGGGTAGTCTATACCATAGACACGATATAGTGATAATCAGGGTAGTGTGTTACTGGGTAGTCTATAACACAGACACGATATAGTGATACTCAGGATAGTGTTTTACTGGGAAGTCCAAAACACAGAGACGATAGAGAGATATTCAGGATAGTGGTTTACTGGGTAGTCCAAAACACAGACACCATATAGTGATGTCCAATGTAGTGTTTTACTGGGTAGTCTAAAACACAGACACGATAACGTGTTAATCAGGTAGTGTTTTACTGGGTAGTCCAAAAAACAGACACGATATAGAGATATTCAGGTTAGTGTTTTACTGGGTGGTCTATAACACAGACACGATATAGTGATACTCAGGATAGTGTTTAACAGGGAAGTCCAAAACACAGACACGATATAGTGATACTCAGGATAGTGTTTAACAGGGAAGTCCAAAACACAGACACGATATAGTGATACTCAGGATAGTGTTTAACTGGGAAGTCCAAAACACAGACACGATATAGTGATACGCAGGTTAGTGTTTTACAGGGTAGTCCAAAACACAGACACGATATAGAGAGATTCAGGATAGTGTTTTACTGGGTAGTTCAAAACACGGACACGATATAGTGATATTCAGGGTAGTGTTTTACTGGGTAGTCCAATACACAGAGACGATATAGATATGCAGGGTAGTGTTTTACTGGGTAGTCCAAGACACAGACACGATATAGAGATATTCAGAGTAGTGTTTTACTGGGTAGTCCAAATCACAGTCACGATAAAGTGATATTCAGGATAGTGTTTTACTGGGTATTCCAAAACACAGAGACGATATAGTGATACGCAGGATAGTGTTTTACTGTGTAGGCTAAAACACAGACACGATATAGTGATACGCAGGTTAGTATTTTACTGGGTAGTCCAAAACACAGACACAATATAGAGATATTCAGGATAGTGTTTTGCTGGGTAGTCCAAAACACAGGCACGATATAGAGATATTCAGGATAGTGCTTTACTGGGTAGTCCAAAACACAGAGAGAATATAGTGATAATCAGGGTAGTGTTTTACTGTGTAGTCCAAAACACAGACACGATATAGTGATACGCAGGGTAGTGTTTTACTGGGTAGTCCAAAACTCAGAGACGATATAGGGATAATCAGGGTAGTGTTTTACTGGGTAGTCTATACCATAGACACGATATAGTGATAATCAGGGTAGTGTTTTACTGTGTAGTCCAAAACACAGACACGATATAGTGATAATCAGAGTAGTGTTTTACTGGGTAGTCCAAATCACAGTCACGATAAAGTGATATTCAGGATAGTGTTTTACTGGTTAATCTATAACACAGACACGATATGGTGATAATCAGGGTAGTGTTTTACTGGGTAGTCCAAAACATAGACACGATATAGTGATATTCACGATAGTGTTTTACTGGGTAGTCCAAAACACAGACACGATATAGTGATAATCAGGGTAGTGTTTTACTGGGTAGTCTAAAACACAGACACGATATAATGATATTCAGGGTAGTGTTTTACTGGGTAGTCCAAAACTAAGAGACGATATAGTGATAATCAGGGTAGTGTTTTATTGGGTAGTCCAAAACACAGAGACGATATAGTGATAATCAGGGTAGTGTTTTACTGGGTAGTCCAAAACTCAGAGACGATATAGTGATAATCAGGGTAATGTTTTACTGGGTAGTCCAAAACACAGACACGATATAGTGATACGCAGGATAGTGTTTTACTGAGTAGTCTAAAACACAGAGACGATATAGTGATAATCAGGGTAGTGTTTCACTGGGTAGTCCAAAACTCAGAGACGATATAGTGATATTCAGGGTAGTGTTTTACTGGGTAGTCCGAAACTCAGAGACGATATAGTGATAATCAGGGTAATGTTTTACTGGGTAGTCCAAAACACAGACACGATATAGTGATATTCAGGGTAGTGGTTTACTGGGTAGGCCAAAATATAGACACGATGTAGCTTTAATGAGGGTTGCATTACCTAGCTATGTAATTAAGTGTAGTTGAATGTAACGTCCTATTTATTATACGTGTTTTACTGGGTAGTCCAAAACATAGACACGATATAGTGATATTCACGATAGTGTTTTACTGGGTAGTCCAAAACACAGACACGATATAGTGATATTCAGGGGAGTGTTTTACTGGGTAGTCCAAAACACAGACACGATATAGTGATACGCAGGATAGTGTTTTACTGAGTAGTCTAAAACACAGACGCGATAAAGTGATACGCAGGATAGTGTTTTACTGGGTAGTCCAAAACACAGAAACGATATAGTGATATTCAGGATAGTGTTTTACTGGGTAGTTCAAAACACGGACACGATATAGTGATATCCAGGGTAGTGTTTTACTGGGTAGTCTATAACACAGACACGATAAAGTGATAATCAGGGTAGTGTTTTACTGGGTAGTCCAAAACTCAGAGACGATATAGGGATAATCAGGGTAGTGTTTTACTGGGTAGTCCAAAACTCAGAGACGATATAGTGATAATCAGGGTAGTGTTTCACTGGGTAGTCCAAAACTCAGAGACGATATAGTGATAATCAGGGTAATGTTTTACTGGGTAGTCCAAAACACAGACACGATAAAGTGATATTCAGGATAGTGTTTTACTGGGTAGTTCAAAACACGGACACGATATAGTGATATCCAGGGTAGTGTTTTACTGGGTAGTCTATAACACAGACACGATGTAGTGATAATCAGGGTAGTGTTTTACTGGGTAGTCCAAAACTAAGAGACGATATAGTGATAATCAGGGTAGTGTTTCACTGGGTAGTCCAAAACTCAGAGACGATATAGTGATATTCAGGGTAGTGTTTTACTGGGTAGTCCAAAATATAGACACGATGTAGCTTTAATGAGGGTTGCATTACCTAGCTATGTAATTAAGTGTAGTTGAATGTAACGTCCTATTTATTATACGTACCTGATATATGAAAATTCAAATCTATGTGTACCATGGTACACTTTTACATGGTACACAAAGATTTGAATTTTCATATCTTTGTGTACCATATAAAAGTGTACCGTGGTACAAAAAGATATGAAAATTCATATTTTTTTGTCAGGCTCTTGTCGGCCATCGTATGTATACGTTGATGAAAGTTAAAAGCATCATTCCATTATTTGTTTCGATTTTACCAAAGTTTGATTTCATGATAATGTTACACAATGAAGAATTCGACTGCTACAGGGTGTAAACAATTAGCCAGGGATGATAGAAGCAGGTTGGAATAACGGCATGATATAAACCCACGGGAAAATGCAGACTGTGTTCCATACAAAATAACACAAATCGCCCTGCTATATACCAAGTTTTATTTAGATACTTCGGGAGCGCTGAGTGTATAGAGAACGGTCGACAGTTTGGCAAGAAGTAGTGGCACAAAACATATCAGCCCTAGGAACGGCTTCTCCGCGGGATTGACCCTGCGGTCAAGGACACTGATATCTTCCTCAAACACGTGTTTGGGTAGAAGCATGTCCTGGAGTTCACTGATCAAACACGTCATGATCTGGTAGTCATCGTCACTCTCGTCCCCGGTAGAGGCCTGACACGATTTGGCCTTAATGTCGTCTACTAGAATTCGTATACTGTTCACAGTCGACAGATACTCTCGAACCAGATCAGTCCGCATACCGGAAGATAACGAAGAACTTCCGACTAAATGGCTATAGAGTCCGATGACATCTGAAAGAGATTCAATGGCGACTTTGCCAATCGGCATGATAATCTGCAGGGTTCTGATGAAGAGGTCGATTGAGTCATTGAAACATGTGTATCGATGACGCACTGTCTCGACCTCAGCACTGAGGCGCATGCGCCAGCCAACAACATCAAAGTCTTTCTCGATCACTACCACATCTACAAGCAGAGAAATAAGCATTGGTTAAAAAACAAAAGAATGCCCTCTTGAATGATTTTTAATATAAATGTATATTCAGACTTTCTTACATGAAACAAATGTTTGAAATTAAAATGTTGTTTTCTGAAATAGCAAATACATCGGTAAAATACCAACATTAAATGCAGTAGTACTGATAATAGGACCTATTACAGTAAGAGACATTAGGAACGTATAGATCTATGGACAGACAATCTAGATAACATCAATGCTAACACAACTGAACTCAAGAAATATTAAATGAACAAATAAGGTCAACATTATTAGCATAGTACTGACCAGCGGTGACCGGAATGTGGTCAAGACTAGGGTAATCTGTTGGAGTGGTCAGTGTGTCCGCTGGATGGACTAATGTACACTCTTTGAACTTGCGTGACAAGAGCACTTCTCGTGACGCGTCCAATTCGTCCGTATCTATGGTAACATCCAGTTTAACTGACTTGGCTCCTACTAGTTCCAGGATACGATCCGTGACAAACACGGATTGACAAACAGCCGACAGACGTCGACTTTTGAACATTTGATTAAGTGACTCTAATGCTCCAAGTGTCAAACACGTGCACTTAACACACATGCTCCCTCTGGTAATTGTTTCGACTTTGACGTCACGAATGTCAATAGCAGCCTCCAACGTCCAACAGAATTGTTCCTTCTTTTGTATGATGACGTCGTAGAAGCGCTCGGCCAAATCCCGTTTGGTCTGTTGGGAGCCCGTATCGTCCTCAGATCCCAGCGATACTTGAGATATCTTCATATTCAGACTGATCTCGCCTGCCGTGGAGAAAATAATAAGAAACAAAAGAATTTGAATAAATTCGGTAAGTATGTTCCTCCGACCCTAAAGACTACATACAGCATGGTCTGAACCAATTCTATAACAACTTTTCGCATTTAAAGTTTTATCTAGAATATTGAGAAATTCCTAAGGACACCACACAGGGTTTTCTTTCTTTTTTCTAACACTTAAACTTACTAACGAATCCTCATTTAAGCCGCCATGTCAAAATAGAGCTGTCCCTGGACTCGACTCTAGTGTGATTGGAACAGATGAGTGTGATCTGTCTTTTGTATCAAGGTAAAGCGAATCCCATTTCGCTTCCTCATTAAAGGCATTGGTGTGTGCAGTGTAGGAGAAATGGCTATTAAAATGCTATATTTTTGTTATTTTCAACAACTCTGTAAATTGAAGGAAAACTTACATGACTTTTCCTCGGAGTAGCTGTCCCGTTTCTTGGCCGACCGTGCACGATTGCTGCCACTGCGCGCACTCTTACACCGAGTGTTGGGTCGGGCTATACCGCCTGTGTAAACAAAATATGACATCCTGAAGGAAAATGTTTTCAATAATTCAAAATTTTCTATACGTTCATCAAAATTCAATTTCTTGATGTCTTTACTTCATCAGATTTATCTAATACAGTACCAAAACTATATACAAGTACGTTACAAGATATAAACGGTAAATACACAGATAATACATTATAATTCAGTGACAACGGAACATACGGCTATATCAAACATTTATTGTTTATCGTTTGTTTTGCTGTTGCCCTAATTGTACAGGTCATTTACGTCCCCAGCTGAAATGACCCTCAACAGCACCGTTATTAGCCTTATAGAATCACAGGCCATGCAATCCCACTATATACATTAGACGATGTTATTTTATAGGTTTAGAGTAATCAGTACGGATAGTTTTTGACTTCTCTATACATCTAGACCTGTATACATGCCATTAAACGTGGCAAGGGTCAGTTGCACGTGTTATTTACCTGTATGTAAATGCCGTTAAGCGTCACACGGGTCAGTTATATGTGTTAGTTTTGATACACTAACGCCATCTCTGATTACTCCTGGGTGTAATTTGAGCTCCCATTTGACGTACTATATCGACTTAGAACAACCGAGTCAAACCAACTTTACATATTTAAATCAATTAAAAACGTATTTTTTTTTGTATTATAAACATTTCTCTTATAAAAAAAAACAACTTGATAAATACATTCCTGACTAATCTACATAAACCACAAAGCCGACTTTCTGGTATAGTGTTCCAAATCTCGTCCACTACATTATAGTGACGTCTTATTGTACCATCATTATCCTCCTCCTCCTTTTCCTTTGGTAGTAGCGCGGAGTCCATCAGAAACATCAAGCAAACCTCTGTCCGGGGCACAACACTGACCACTTCTGCCAGTAACCAAACGCTGACCACTGCTACACAACACCTGTATCCCTGTCTTTCACGCACCTGTATGGCACACAGGTGTGGGAACGAGACTGCCAGGTATAACGTTACATATCCCTTTATTACGGCTTGTTTGGTAACGTATCATTAACAAGAGGATGACCCAAGGGAATTAATCCATGACAATGTACACGGGCAGGTTCATGCAAAAGTCAATCAACCACATATCTAAACCATTTACTATACAATTATGATACTTTGGAAAATTGGCAACCATCTGGTTTTAAGTATAATGAGGTCACATGTATGACACACATTCAGCAATGATTTCATCGCACTAAAATAAACACTATATCATCACAATGACATCACACTATACCATCACAATGACATCACCCTATAGTGACATCACACTATACCATTACAATGACAGCACACTATAATTACATCACATTGTATTTTCAAAATAACATAACACTATAATGACATCACACAATACCATTACAATGACATCACACTATAACGACATCACATTGTACTTTCGAAATAACATCACACTATAATGCCATCACACTTAACCATTACAATGACATCACACTATAACGACATCACATTGTACTTTCGAAATAACATCACACTATAATGACATTACACTATACCATTACAATGAAATCATGCTATGCTTTCATAATGAAGTCCCACTCTACTGACATCACATTATACCATTACAATGACCTCACACTATAATTACATCACATTGTATTTTCAAAATAACATAACACTATAATGACATCACACTTAACCATCACAATGACATCACATCATACCGTCACAATGACATCCCGCTATTCCATCACAATGACATCACCCTACAGTGCCATCACACTATACCAGTACAATGACATCACATTATAATGACATCACACTATAGCATTACAATGGCATCACACTATAGGGACATCACACTATACCATCATAATGACATCACACTTAACCATCACAATGACATCACCCTACAGTGCCATCACACTATACCAGTACAATGACATCACATTATAATGACATCACACTATAATGACATCACACTATAATGACATCACACAATACCATTACAATGACATCACATTATAATGACATCACACTATAATGACATCACACAATACCATTACAATGACATCACACTATAATTACATCACTTTGTATTTTCAAAATAACATCACACTATAATGACATCACACTTAACCATTACAATGACATCACATTATACCATTACGATGACATAACACTATAGTGACATCACACTATACCATCATAATGACATCACACTTTCCTTTCATAATGGCGTCACACTATAGTGACATCACATTACAGTGACATCAAACTTAACCATTACAATACATCACATTATACCATTACAATGACATCACACTATACCATTACAATGACATCACACTATGCTTTCATAATGGCGTCACACTCTAGTGACATCACATTATACCACTACATTGACATCACACTATAGTGACATCACACTATACCATTACAATGCCATCACACTATACCATTACAATGACATCACATTATAATGACATCACACTGTACTTTTACAATAACATCACACTATAATGACATTACACTATATCTCCACAATGACATTACACTATACCTCCACAATGACATCACGCTATACCATCACAATGACATCACACTATACCATTACAATGACATCACACTATAATTACATCACATTGTATTTTCAAAATAACATCACACTATAATGACATCACACTTAACCATTACAATGACATTACATTATACCATTACGATGACATAACACTATAGTGACATCACACTATACCATCATAATGACATCACACTTTCCTATCATAATGGCGTCACACTATAGTGACATCACATTATAGTGACATCAAACTTAACCATTACAATTACATCACATTATACCATTACAATGACATCACACTATACCATTACAATGACATCACACTATGCTTTCATAATGGCGCCACACTATAGTGACATCACATTATACCACTACATTGACATCACACTATAGTGACATCACACTGTACTTTTACAATAACATCACACTATAATGACATTACACTGTATCTCCACAATGACATCACACCATACCATCACAATGACATCACACTTAACCATCACAATGACATCACACTAAACCATCACAATGACATCACACTATGCTTTCATAATGGCGTCACACTATAGTGACATCACATTATACCACTACATTGACATCACACTATAGTGACATCACACTATACCTCCACAATGACATCACACTATACCATCACAATGACATCACACTATAATGACATCACACTTTACCATCACAATGACATCACAATATAGTGACATCACACTATACCATTACAATGCCATCACAATATACCATCACACTTGACATCACGCTACAGATACNTTACGTCTAGAATATCTTACTACATGTACAACACACCTAACACTTGTTTTATTACGTCTAGTATATCTTACTACATGTACAACACACCTAACACTTGTTTTATTACGTCTAGTATATCTTACTACATGTCCCTGGAATGTTAGTAACGGTTGATTTTGAAAAGGCTTTCGATTCTGTCTCTTGGAAATTCATAGACGAAGTACTTAGATATTTTGGATTTGGAAACGATATCAGAAATTGGGTCAAAATTTTACACTGTAATTCAAGGTCTGCTATAAACCAGGGGGGTAATTTATCAGCACTTTTCAAAAAAAATCGTGGTTGTCGTCAAGGAGATCCCATCACTCCATATATTTTTATATTATGTGCAGAAGTATTAGCAATCCGCCTTAGAAACAAGAAGAGTATAACTGGTATAAATGTTAATAACTGTCCCATCTTAAACTCTCAGTATGCAGATGACACTTCTCTGGTATTAGATGGTTCTGAAAAATCACTGAAAGGGGCGGTTGATGAACTAAATATTTATGCAAACATATCTGGTCTTAAAGTAAATGTAGGTAAAACTGAAGTTGTCTGGATAGTTTTATTACGTCTAGTATATCTATCTACATGTACAACACACCTAACACTTTTTTGTATTACGTCTAGTATATCTTACTACATGTACAACACACCTAACACTTGTTTTATTACGTCTAGTATATCTTACTACATGTACAACACACCTAACACTTGTTTTATTACGTCTAGTTTATCTTACTGCATGTACAACACAACTAACACTTGTTTTGTTACGTCAAGTATATCTTACTACATGTACAACACACCTAACACTTGTTTCGTTACGTCTAGAATATCTTACTACATGTACAACACATTTAACACTTGTTTTGTTACGTCAAGTATATATTACTACATGTACAACACACCTAACACTTGTTTTATTACGTCTATTATATCTTACTACATGTACAACACACCTAACACATGTTTTATTACGTCTAGAATATCTTACTACATGTATAACACACTTAACGCTTGTTTTTATTACGTCTAGTATATCTTACTACATGTACAACACACCTAACACTTGTTTTATTTCAATTGCGTCTAGTATATCTTACTACATGTACAACACACCTAACACTTGTTTTGTTACGTCTAGTATATCTTACTACATGTACAAAACACCTAACACTTGTTTTGTTACGTCAAGGATATCTTACTACATGTACAACACACCTAAAACTTGTTTTGTTACGTCTAGTATATCTTACTACATGTACAACACACCTACCACTTGTTTTATTTCAATTGCGTCTAGTATATCCTCCTACATGTACAACACACCTAACACTTGTTTTATAACGTCTAGTATATCATACTACATGTACAACACACCTAACACTTGTTTTTTTACGACTAGAATATCTTACTACATGTACAACACACCTAACACTTGTTTTTTTACGTCTAGAATATCTTACTACATGTACAACACACCTTACACTTGTTTTGTTACGTCTAGAATATCTTACTACATGTACAACACACCTTGCACTTGTTTTGTTACGTCTAGAATATCTTACTACATGTACAACACACCTAACACTTGTTTTTTTACGTATAGAATATCTTACTACATGTACAACACACCTAACTCTTGTTTTTTTACGTCTAGAATATCTTACTACAAGTACAACACACCTAACACTTGTTTTATAATGTCTAGTATATCATACTACATGTACAACACACCTAACACTTGTTTTTTTACGTATAGAATATCTTACTACATGTACAACACACCTAACACTTGTTTTATAACGTCTAGTATATCATACTACATGTACAACACACCTAACACTTGTTTTATTACGTCTAGAATATCTTACTACATGTACAACACACCCTATAACACTTGTTTTATTAAGTCTAGAATATCTTACTACATGAACAACACACTTAACACTTGTTTTATTACGTCTAGTTTATCTTACTACATGTACGGAACACACAGAACAATTCTCTAGAATATTTTAATTTACACAATACCGAACAATTCTCAACTATCTTAACATAGCCAAAGGTATGTCAGTTTCTATTAAAAAATATCAATTTATAAGCAATGTTGTTTCTTAAATGAAATATTAAACTGCTGCCTCCGTCAAACCCAAGATACGTGTTGCCTATTCGATGCATACTTTCTCTGGCAGCCAATGACATAAGTGAAAATACAAATACACCACAGAGGTCCGCTGTGACTTTAATCATATGACACTTCTTAGTTCTGAAATAAAGCAGAATAAACTTTATACCTAAAGGACCGGAAGGTCTCCAGTCATAAGTTGGCGGTCAAAACCGGGTACAAACTACTTACCATTTTCATGAATGGTTGGAAGCTTAAGAGTGGTCATTTGGCTTTCTGACCGACGTCCTAGTGAGCACTGCATAGTTTAACGAGGTACGGGCGTAAATAAGTACCAGGAGGGTATAGATAAGTACCATATCTACGTAAGTAAACCTCTCATTGTCTTAAACTTGAAATATAAAATCTTTAAATTCTTGTCATCAGATAAAGAGACTATGGGCATGCCTTCGGTGACTACGTTAGTGGTGATTGGTACCTACTCGTCAACAGTAGTGCTAGTCCGACGTTCGTGTCGATACCCGCGTGTAAATACCATTTAAATAGTCGTGATGTAATTTTAATTTAAACCAAGATTATCTAGATCCGAAATCAAATTTATTCGCCAGCGTCATTGTCCAAGCTTATCAGCTCACAAGATTAAAACCGAACACTTCTAATACTTTACCATTTGACGTAGTACATCTGAAGGTTAAGAGATTTAGGTGTCCAGACAAAGAAAGAAAAATAGGATATTCGTAAATATGGTAATTATTTAATGTGGTTGGTGTATCTGATCACTAAACTGGTGTATGTGATTTCAATACTGGTATGTTTTATTCACAAATTGATGTAATGGATCCCTATAGTACTGGTAGATATATGCTGACCTGGTTTACTGACACTAACCTGTCTGTAAATGTTGACGTCTCCTGACCGAGTTGATTGATATTCACCTGCGTGTAAGCGTTGACGTCTCCTGACCAGATTAGTTTACACTCAACTGTTTGCAAGTGTTGACGTCCCCTGACTAGATTAATTTACACTAACCTGTCTGTAAGTGTTGACACATTCTGACCAGGTTGTCTGACACTAACGTGTCTGTAAGTGTTGACGTCCCCTGACTAGATTAATTTACACTAACCTGTCTGTAAGTGTTGACGTCTTCTGACCGAGTTGATTGATACTCACCTGCGTGTAAGTGTTGACATCTCCTGACGGAGTTGATTGATACTCACCTGCGTGTAAGTGTTGACGTCTCCTGACCAGATTAGTTTACACTCAACTGTATGTAAGTGTTGACGTCCCATGACTAGATTAATTTACACTAACCTGTCTGTAAGTGTTGACGTCTTCTGACCGAGTTGATTGATACTCACCTGTGTGTAAATGTTGACGTCTCCTGACCAGATTTATTTACAGTAACTCACCTGTCTGTTGGTGCTGACGTCTCCTGACTAGGTTAGCAGACTTGAGACGCCTTGCGTACTGTGTCCGATGGGAGTGTAGACCCGAGGACGTAGGTCGTGATGACGTCGGTCGTGATGATGTTGGCCTTTCCGGCTTCCTAGACTCTAAGTTTGTGATCTCCTCTATCCGAACAAAAAAGACAGTTCAGATTAAGCTTTCAGCAATTAGTAAGAAAAACACTATGAATCATACAATATTTAATTAGCCGACACGATGCACGTGGTTTTAATTGACAATAAAAGTGGACTCTATAACAACCGACTAGTTTATGTTTTCCTGGGACGTAAATCGGTTCAGTTCAAATAAAATACTCTCTCTGTTCCAGACAGCAAAGCTGCAGGGTCCAGATGACATTTTAGTTTAGCCAATCGAAAGGACGCCATTAAAATAGTCCTGGGCTCGTATTCATGAAACCGTTCTCATGCTCAAGCATGGATTTTGTGCTCAAACCATCATTCTTGTAATCATAACTGATCACTAAATCATGCCAAATGATCAAAACGTCAAATGGAAACATTGAAACAGTATTCGACTGTAATTCTCTTCAAAGTTTTTCCAAATCATTGACAAAATAAAATTGTATTATCAAAGTATAGCCGGAACAAGAAATTAGGCTTGAGCACAAAATCCATGTTTGAGCATGATAACGGTTTCATGAATACGGGCCCTGGTGTTTGAAAACATCCGGATATTGAACTTACTCCGTATGTGTCAAAAAGGAACATATGCAATATATGCAGCGACTCATTCAAGCAGTAAAACAAGTAAGAAACTCGACTAAAGGCTTTGGTAACAATCCCAAATGTTCAGAAACAAATGTTTTAAGTGATATCTATATAGTACTATCCTCATCTCTGCCCTAAGGTTGTCCGTCACTAACACTGCTGTACATACCTTCAGCCCTCCTAAGACCACATCTATTGAGGGCCACACCCAGACACTCCCTGCTGGCCGCCCTCCCCACTCGGTCGTACCACAGACATAGGCCCTTGAAAGCCAGTTGGGACGGACAAGGAGTGAAGTCCGTAGCCTCCAGCTGTTTTATCTCGTGTTGCTGAACTCCTAACTCCAGACATACTTCCTTCCACTGACGGATTATGTAAGGACTCACGTGTCGGAATACCTCTCGGATATCTATAGGCAAACCGAAAGTAGAACGCTGCATTAGTATAATGTAGCTCGAGACTTTTAAAATAGATACTATTGCACTAACCACTGATAAACGCTTTTTTTATTACATTTCAACCATACATCTCCAGTAACCCCAGTCACAGAGACAATAGCAAAGAGGTTTCAAAGGTCTCAAAACCGTTTTACTAAGGTCGCAACAAAGTTTCAGAGAAGTCGCAAAACCATTGTGGTCGCAATCAATTCTTTTAAAAACTGGTCGATGAGAGGTTTCATTAAACTTCTAGAGTTTTTCGAGCGATAGGTTAATCGCAAATTGGTTTTCACTGTGCAGCGATTGGTTTCGTTTAAACAAGAATGTTGACTTTATGTAACCTAGTGACAACCTACATTTCTGTGTATTGCAGCATCGTATGATCTACATACTACACACAAACGATTTTTTTTGATTATATCTATTATTTCAAATCACCATGCAGTGTGACCAGTTAATACAGGTATCATCCAATACTGCCTTTGCCTTGTCTTTTTTAATCTTCTGTTCACCACCAAGAAAGCTACTGGAGCGTTTTCGTTTATTCTTTGCGGGCCAAGCAACTGTAATGGTGCTACTGTTAACATATTATCAACTTGACAACTTACAGAGAATTTATTTGATTCTGACAAGCACCACTTTTGTATCAATTATGTTTGATCGGCAATCAACAGATAGTTACCGATCCCTGCGCACAGTTGAATCGATTCTCTGGGATTCGCTTATGCTACGTTTACATTATGTTCCCGGTGGCCACGGCAATCACGTTTCAGGCCAACGTGGTCAAAACGGGATGGACGTGAGATAATGCGGGGACGGGATGGGCCAACGTGACAGGCCGTGATTGCCGTGGTTGCCGGGCCAGATTTTTTAACTGTCAAAAGATTTGCCATGGCAGTCACGGTGTAATATAACTTGGAGGCGGTCCGTAGTGGGACGGGAAGCATGTGTATTTCCCGGCATCTCACGGTCCTTTCAAGTTTTGTCAAGTTCTATCGCGTTTAGTGCGCGTTCTGTCACGGTTAGTTCACGGTTGCTGCGCGTTTTGTCCCGTTTTGCCACGTTTTGTCACGGTTCTCACGGCAAGCTAGGGTGTATGGTAGCTGTTTCGTCGCGTTCAATCCGGCACGTCCCGGTGTGTGACGGTTTGCGGGCCCGGCGTGTTGCGTTCTACTACGGTCTGACATGGCGCGCGCGCGCGGTCTGGGAGGGAGTATATAAAAGCAAAAATCCCACGGCGCACTACGTTTCGTACATGGGAATTCATGATGTTATCTCGTCGATTCGTCTCAGGATATAATGATTGCTTTGCTTGGGAGGCCTTCTTGGGCACAAACGTGCTCCAAAGCTGCCCGGTGTAAACGTTACATCCGTGGAAAGCCTGGACAGAACGTGAAAAACGTGTCGGACCTTCATCAGAACGTGAGAAACGTGAGGGACCCCATCAGAACGTGACGGGCCTAGAGGGAATGTACTGGCATCCGTGGTAGACCGTAGGCCGAACCATAGTGCGCCTTAGAGCCTCCGGGACTCAGCAGCCTCTTTCCCCCCACGGCCTGTCACGGATACCGTCACGGATACCGTGACAGACCGTGGGAAAACTTGCCAAGTCTTGAATTAAGAGAAAAAATGGCCAAAATCCCACGGCGCACTACGTTTCGGGCTGCCGGAAACATAATGTAAACGTAGCATTACTAAGTCAAAAGTCTGCTGAACCAGGTGTAAGAGTATTGCTGAACTGACAAGTTACAAAATCTATCGCTGATAGATCGGTGATCATACCCAAATTTAACCATACCTAAATTTGACCATACCCTAATTAAAATACGGAACATAAGTCGTCAAAAGTCTGTCGCAAATGAGTCAATGACAGACATTGCCAAGAGGTTGGATGGCAGTCGCCTTGTCAGTGTGAGTGGGGATTTACTGCGTTTGACGTTTACCTAAACCTACGTGTTTAAATAAGACTACAGTCCTACACACCAGGTACGGTATACACTACTTAACTTCCGTTCATTACCTGACATTTTACACACTCAGCCTAAATTACTCAAACTATTATATTGACACGTACTGTCTTTATTTGATTTCCCTTTAAAAGGGACGTCTAAAGTGTTGAAGCGTTGAAAGAGCGGGCGTGTGCCGGGTCTGTACGAGCCGATTAAGATTTTCAATTGTATGCTTTCTGTGTAGTTTTGTGAATGTTGCGTTTTTGAGTAGACGTAAGAATGGCACATAGAACACAGTTTTCTCTTCTCCTATATCTCAAGTTCAATCATTAATGGGTGTATATCGAGACAAAATTAAGCACGAAACTGCGTTCTGCTGGCACTCACAGTATATATGAATGCCAACTAAAACATGACTAATCCCATAGCTAAAATGGATGCCACCTGATATTGTTAGGTTATATAGTGGCAATGCCATAGAGTGGTAAATAGAGTACAGTGTTACCGCTCAATAGCAGTAGGGAGGGTGGGTTTGGGTGGAGGTTTGGGTACTACATTATTTTTTAAATAGAGACGTGTGCTTTAATAAGCAAAAGATACCTATATGAAGCGTTCCGTCGCCATGGTAACACATAGAATTCGACACTTTAATCGGGTTTCTTAATTTCAATACTATATAAGCCTAACAAGCGATATGGTTCAAATGTTATGGAATAGGTTTGTCAAATACATATCACCTGTACGACCTTTAAAAAGGTCAAGGTCAAATTTATTTACACATATTTGACAGCAAGCAATCTTACACTACATGCTAAATAGCATCACTCTAGTCCTCACAGATCTTTGTTGGAAGATTTTAACATACCTTACTCGTGAGATTTTGGAAGTGGAACAATACCATTTATCTATGCTAGACCTTAAGGACGTGGAGAAGAAGTCAAACACATTTAGCAATGGTGACTTTAAAAGTCGGTCAAGGCCAGTCATCTGAACAAATTAATGGTAGCCCTCTTCCCCAGCAAGCTACAGGCCAAGTTTCAGTTCTCAACGCCTTGTGGATCTTAAGAAGAGGTCGTTTAAAGAAGTTGATGCCGGCAAACGCATTCTACTTTTTTATTATAAACATTTATAATAAACTCTACTCATTCGTTTTCGTTTGCTGTTCTTTATAAAGTAGGGGTTCTATGTACATAGTGACTGCTTTTTATAAACGAGAAATATCCCTAAAGTGACTGTGTTTATAATCAGGAAATCGCCATATACGGTTTTTTTTTGTTTTTTTTTATATAAACAGATCTGCGTAAATAATGTCTTTATAAACAGATAATCCCTCTTTATAGTGTCAGTGTTTATGACATTTGTTGTCTCTCTATATTGACTGTCTTTTTAAAACGACGATTTCCAAAGATTAACAGTACATATAATCAGTTGTATTCTCTCTTTAAAGAGTCTGTATACACAGCTATTCCCTCTATAGAGTAGCACTGTTTATACCACGTGTTCTCTCTATATGTTGACTGTCTTTATACACAGCTATTCCCTCTATATAGTGGCACTGTTTATACCACGTGTTCTCTCTATAGGTTGACTGTCTTTATAAACAGATGATCTATAAGTATCTACAGTCCTTATGAACAGTTGTTTTATCTCTAACTTAGTCTTTATAAAAAAAAATCTATATAGTTGCTGTGTTTATTATAAATTGTTCTCTCTAAATATCAGCAGTCTTTATAAATAGGTATTCCCTATATGTAGTAACTGTCTTTATAAATGTCAGATCCCTCTAAATATCGGCAATCTTTATAAACAGGTTTTCCCTATATATATTGGCTGTGTTTATAAACAGGTTTTCCCTATATATATTGGCTGTGTTTATAAACAGGTTTTCTCTATATATATTGGCTGTGTTTATAAACAGGTTTTCTCTATATATATTGGCTGTGTTTATAAACAGATGCTTTCTCTGTATACTGTAATCCTTTATAAAGGGGTGTTCACTATAGATAACGGTTTCCTTTATAAACATGTTTTTATTAGAGTCAGTCGCTAATGGAAAATGTCTATACTAAGAAATGTCACTAAACTATGTCATTAGAATTTGATTTAAAATGACGGTGTCGAATTAATCTGAATATAATCTATAACAGCACTAGTAATGACTTGTAATATAAAATTTTGATTGTGTTCGCCTAACTTTCAGAGATGACAGATCCATAGACGGTTATATCTAACCCCGGAGCTACACATTGCGCTTTTTAATCTACCTTATTTCCATTCGTAGTATTAATATAATTCTCAAACACAAACCACAAGCCGTCCCCAGGGTAAAGCAATAACTTAATGTTGTTTGTATAGCCGATAAAGGTATGCAAATATTATATTGAAGTATTTGACTCCGTGTTTGAAGTGTTCAATATGATTTCTGACTACACAATCAATCAATGTATTGGTTGACCGTCACATACACCGCTGAACGGTAACGAACACCCCGACAGTCGAGGGGGCGCGCGCGCATCTATTATCTCATAATCTAATAAAGCATCAGCATTGGCGTAACCTTTAGGATATTGAGATGGGGAGTTTAACCTTCAAGGTGCTGTTGGTTTTGTATATCTGGATATTAGATCTCGGTTTTGACCTTGGAATGGTATATATGTCCCCCATTGACGACATACTATGTACGGAATTGCATTTTTTCCTATGCAATTGTATGATGATAGCCCTTATCTTCTCAGAGGACGTCAAAACACAAACTGGCTTCTCATGTATTACATATTTAACTTCAACTGATATTTTTCTAGAACCTGAAGGTTTTTACGGAATAGCATGCCGAACCGTATATCATATCAATGTAGTATCAAGTACATAACCTGTCCATACGCATGATTCAATAAAACCAAGAGTCTAATAATACGTACTGAGAACCATTAAGGTTAATAGCTTGGTAATGGTAAAATAACGCGTTCTATGGCTCAATAACACATTCCGGTAATGGTGTTTTGCTATCACTCTCAGTAAATACGTCCATAATGGCATGAAATTATAATTAACATCAGACATCGACGTTACATTAAATGTCGATGATATCCCAGTTTTACTTACCAACTGTATCTGTTTTGAGCCCATTTCTGACCGCCATTCCGTGTCCTATCTGGTCCAGTTGGAAATCTGTATATATACCCAATACATACAGTAATCCTCTGTTACAGGGTCCGTACAGAAAACGCTGTGTTCAAGTTAAAGATAAAAACACCAAGAGAACAACATGGTGAAATGTCAGACGTTGAGTAACAATAAGTATACGTTGTTCCCGTCTGTGTACTATTGTGGACTTTTCACCTATGACTTGTTTCCAGTCGGCATAATCTGGTATTAAAATCCGTGTGACGAGAACGTCACGAATCGACTCTCCTCGGGTAGAAAGTTTTAACTACAACGGTTAAACACTTGCCAGTATCGATCAAGGGAATTCCCTTTAAACGACCCCACTTCACTGCCGGGGAGCCAGCAATTTACGTCTACTAAACCATTCTTCTCAGTATCGAATTTGATGTAACCATTCTTAGAGGAGCTTAGATAAAGCACATAGACTTATAATGAATAGAACGGTTATTGATATAAGTATTCAACAAGAAGTGGACCAAGGCAATATTCTTCGGTCTTGTATTGTTTGTTTGTTTGTTTGTTTTACAATAAGATAATCGATTGTCGTGATTTACAACAGACCACGCTACCGTCACATTACTTTCAATATGACGTCGTTCTCAGATTTTGACATTAAGAAAAACGGGGAGATCAAAACAAATATGGGGTATAACCTGTCAATAAGAATACACTCAGCCGTATTAACCCCTATCTACAAATAACAAGAAAACAATAATGACAATTAAAGATGACGATGCCGTCAAAAACTTGATTTCTGGATACAGGAAGTTAATTATTACGTGACGTCATAAACGGCGTTTTGACGGAAACGTCATTTCCGCTTCAAAATGGAAGACGTTACAAAACATGAAACTGGGCTGGAGAGTAAACCAACAGATGATACAACGGAAACGGGTAGGACTATCGTTTGTTTGATCTTCCGCAAGACACTGTTATGATAATGATTACCTATCCTCGCTTAGTGTTGACCTAAAGCAAAGTAGCAATATTTTATGTTATTGTGTGCCCATATTTATTATTTGATTCAAAATTGAATGGTTTCTTTCAATCATCAATGTAATTCAAAAATCGTACTTTCCTTTCGCTTTAGGATACATGCTGATTGACCACGAAGAAGTCCTCATCAGACAACTAAGTAACATCCGACATGAACTATCGACACAGGTATGACCATAGGTGTTTGATAATCTGACTGTAAATTGAGATAAAAATCATTTAAAAAAATAAGGGTATTACTATAAAAAAAATTTTTTTATAGTAATACCCTTATTTTTGTATATTATTGACAGGTTATACCCCATATTTGTTTTGATCTCCCCGTTTTTCTTAATGTCAAAATCTGAGAACGACGTCATATTGAAAGTAATGTGACGGTAGCGTGGTCTGTTGTAATCGAACCTGCAAATTAACCGTAGAGTATTGGTCACAAAGAATAAATCACCAAAGCCTGGCATGTCCTTCACGAACAGCCCAAACCAAATCCGGCCATATCGCTGTTTATACTAAATGCCAGATGCTTTAGCATTGTCAAAATAATTTGTATATACAATTTGTATACAAACTTCAGGCACAACGGTATGTAAAACAACATCAAGTATTTCACACTGTGCTTATACAAGATATTGCATAACCCAAGTAGCCAGAGCTCCTCTTCGGCTGGATCTCATCGGTTGTTATCCACTGATTAAATTGACGAATTGAAAAAAGATGTATAGGTTCCGAACATTTTACCACCACTTTTCTATAAAAGGCTGGTAACGTGACGTCATTATTCCGTCCGTCGTTTTGTCCACCATTCTTGTTCGGTTCAAGCTTTCTTTAGCACTTCGAACATTATTATGGGGAAATGATGAGCAAGCAAAAACATTAAATGCATATAAAGACTATTGGATGGGGTTGGTAATAAGAGGAATACCACAGATGTTTTGATCTGCTATCTCAGATTGCATACGTTTATTGCGCGAATTGATACATCTCATTCGACGAATCCTTTGGCCTACGTGCAATGCACTCCTGCAATCTGAAACGCAAGATATATGTGCGTCAATGCCTATTTATCACGCACCTTTTATATCATTGAGGCATAGCAACCATCTAAACAAGGAAACTTACTAGCCGTCGTACATCGATTGAAAGTGAGATTACCAGGTGTTATTGAAACGAGAAAACATGGTTTTGAACATGTATAAATAATTCTTTGTCATTATTGTCTTGCTTTCAGCCTACAATGTCGATTTATTTCGATATCTTTGCATGTACGATGCTGACGGATACACGCACAGATTCATTTAAAATATGGTACTTATACACTAGGCACATTACTCTACTGGTGGTATATTACGTGACATCACTCTATAGGTTTGGTTTGGTTTTATAGGGTTTAACGTCCTATCAATAGCTAAGGCCATTTGAAGACATGCCTGTATATTTTTAATGTATGCATGCATGTATGTATGTGTGCTGGAGGCGGTATGTTGCTGCATTTGCCTCCTTGCGATAGCGCGGATCTGATGCAGATTTTATAGTGTTACCTCACTGCAATACCATGCCAAAGGCACCCATCATAGCAATCCGCCCGGTCACATCATACTGACAATGGATGAACCAGTCGTTGCCATTACCCTGAATACGGAACGTTAAGTATAGTAAAGCAACTACCATTTTTAAGGACTTTGGTATGTCCCAGCATGGCAACAACCCGCTGCCTTCCTCACCTGTGCAAACGTTAAACATTAAAACCGCAAGTGAGATATTGCCAAGAAAGGCGAAATGACATAAAAAGTTAGTTAGACGAAGAGAGAAATATATTCTCTTACACTGGACATGTGTTTCTCTTACCCGGGACAGGTGTATCCGCACTTTTACCGGTGTGAGATTTCCTTGTCTCACCCTAGGGTTGAGACGGGGGGATTCCCCTTTTCATAACAATGGCATGACGTCACTTCAACAATACAATGACGTCACGTCAACAATCCATCAATGTCACGTCAACCCTGAATTTAGCATGTAACGTTATCATTACATTGTGTATACACAATGGTAGAACATGGCAAGAGAAAAAGAATCATTCACCCCCTTGTGGGTGAGATAGGGGAATCTCAACTCTCGGGGAAAGATTCTTAAGTTGCCAAACACTCGGCAGCGCCTCGTGTTTGGCAACTTAAGAATCTTCCCCCTCGGGTTGAGATTCTCCTATCTCACCCCCAAGTGGGTGAAAGATTCTATTAATCTGCACTTTTACCGTTGTGAAATTTCCTTGTCTCACCCTAGGGTTGAGACGGGGGGATTCCCCTATTCATAACAATGGTATGACGTCACTTCAACAATACAATGACGTCACGTCAACAATCCATCAACGTCACGTCAACCCTGAATTTAGCATGTAACGTTGCCATTACATTGTGTATATGATACACATAGGAAGAACAGGTTAAGAGAAAAAGAATCATTCACCCCCTTGTGGGTAAGATAGAGGAATCTAAACCCTCGGGAAAAGATTCTTAAGTTGCCAAACACTCGGCAAAGCCTCGTGTTTGGCAATTTAAGAATCTTCCCCCTCGGTTTGAGATTCCCCTAGCTCACCCCCTTGGCCCCAAGGGGGTGATAGATTCTATTAAAGATCCCAAATATTGCAATGGACGCAGTCATTTTTGTGTTCCCATGAGGAGATTCTCAATTCTTCAGTGGGTTAACACTTAAGTCGCCTCTTACGATCAGCAGTGGGTAGCGACAGGTGTATATTTTTTCTGAATCCAACCTACATGCTACAGGGGTGTTCCCTTGAGGTGGTATAACATGACATTACTGGTAGTACAACATTTTATCCCACCCTTTACATGTGTGTCTCCCGTTTCAGCCGGGAAAGATCAGCTTGTCACCTCCTAGGGGAGAGATAGCCTCGTGCCAATTAGCACGTGCTCAATTGTGACGTCATTAAAATGTGTCACCGGTGAAATTGTGACGTCATCAAAAGTGCATCGCACATGTGTTTTTGTTTACAAACAATGACAAAGCCTCGTGTTTGGCAACTTAAGAATCTTCCTCCTCGGGTTTGAGATTCCCCTATCTGACTCTCAAAGGGGTGAGGGATTCTATTAGTATCACCCTAGATAGTAGTGGTAGTACAGTGAGTGAACTATAATGTGAGGAGAAAGAGAGAGACAGTTTAAACAACCTATATCTCAGTTATTATGCACAGGGTTAATTAGAACTAACTACCAGTGTATGTACAAGAATAGCCATTATTATTACTTGTCTAGAGTCTCTTGAAGCATTAAATGGCAGAGGTCAGGCACAATGGTCTAAATACTCCCTCCGCTGGCAATGTCCAGCAGAGTACATCGACGCAGGTGTAGGGCATAACACATATTTCTAGAAATGTTCTCTATCTTATACGCTGTTTCGTCGCTCTGTAGGGTTAGCGGGAGAAGAGGATTGGTTACGTCAAGAACAGTCTGTAAAAACTTGTCAGCATCTCTGATGAGTGTTGAGCCAACTATATGGTCGCAGTTGTGAACTGTGAACTGATGCAATGCGCATGGTGTCATGGTGTAGGTATGACAGCGAGGATTTTCCTTGGCGTAAGTGTTGCACATGCTTTTTCCAGTTGACATTGAAGGCAGTTTTGACGAGGTTTCGCCACTTTCCCTCTGTAAAGGCGGTGTCCAACAGATGGAGGGCTGACGGGAGTCCATACCGTTCTGTCAGTTGTTGTATATGTATAAACCAACTGCTTGATGTTGGGCTTTTGATACTCAGTTGTCTTCGGGCGATTTCCCTCTCAGGGAAGTCTGTTCTAATTACATTACCGAAAAGCATTAGGGCTTGCTTGTTTTGGTAGACCTCAACTGGGAGTTCTCCAGATAGGATGTATACTGCAGAGTCGGCGGTATATGACGGTAGTCCCATGATATGCTTTAGGGCTTGTTTATGGTAGCGGTTGATGTTGGACATGTCCTTTTTGCTCAAGATGGCCGCTTCGAGCCCATACAGCATCCTTGGCCTTACATAAGTATTCCACAGCTGAATCAGAACCTTGGGGTTCACTCCACTGTACCCGTGTAATCCGGCTCCCATTAGTGAATAGGCTGTCCTCCTGGCGAGCTGGACCCTTTCTTCTGAGATGTTCATAACAGAATTTTTACTATATGATGACCTGTTTATCCCCAGGTGTTTATATGTTAATACTACTTCTAAGCTCTTGTTGTTGAGGTCCAGGCTGACTTGATCCATTTCAAGAAGTTTCGGACGGATGAAGATCAGGATCTTGCTTATAGTGCCACTGAAGGAGTATCGTTCTTTTGAGGCAAAGTCTTGAAGGTGGGGCATCACTTATAGCTCCTATTTTAAGGCCCAGATCTTTTTTCTCCAGGAGGTCCAGGAATGGGTTTATGAACATCTTATACGCTGTTGAAGACCAGCATCCACCCTGACGGACACCTTGCTGTTCTGAGAAGCATTCTGAGATGTTGCCTTCCCATTTGACGCAGGATTTAGGGTTGTTGTACCACTCTCATAAGAAGCTAGTCAGTAGACTGGAGGCCGTATTGGTGGAGACGTCGCAACATGGATTTGTGCCATACTACATCAAAGGCCTTAGAGGCATCGAGGAAGGCTGTGTAGAGGGTACTGCCTGTGTCCGTACACTCCGCAATGCATTCCCAACGCAATTTTTGGGTCATTTATTGGTTTGCCCTGCTTCTTGCAAATAGGGGTGATTATTCCTGACTTGAAGGTGTCTGGGGTTGTTTGGTCGTTGTGAATTTTAGTGAACAGTTCCATCAGGACGGTGGGGAGACTAGTACCAGCATACTTGAGATGTTCTGCTGTTATTCCATCTCCATCAGCTGCTTTCCCGTTGTGCAAGGTGGTGATGATCTTTCCGATTTCCTCCTGTGTATAAGTTGCTTTGGTAGCTTGTCTACTGAGGTAAGTTATATTTTTGATGTCACTGTTGACTTGTTCCTGGTAGTTGTTGTCACAGATATTGCTGGTGTCTGGTTGGCTGAGGTGCTGAAAGTAGCGAGCCCATCCAGCAGAGATCTCATCGTTATCCTGACGATATCGGTCGTCAACGACGAAATGTGAGAGTTTACGGATGCCATTTTTCCCCTCTGTTTCTTAATAAGGTGATGGAACAGTTACATGTCAGATGATTGGGCCTCCATTATATCGTTGTATGTTTGCTTCCTATTTTCAGCATTGGTTTGTCTCTGGTGTTTCCTTAGCGCCTTCTTAGCTTCCTTACACTTAATGAGCAGGTGGTTGTATGGACCAGATGGTTTTCCAGATTGTTTCCAGAGCCAGTATGCCTTTTTGCTGTCGGAGCACAATGATTTGAGTTTATCACTCCATTGCCGTTTATGGGTATTCTTTGTTCTGCCATTTCTGGTAGGACACGCTGCTTTAGCGCACGATTGCAAGGTTGTTGTTATTGTATTCAGGAGATCCTGTGTGTCCATTCCATTGGTGTCAAGTAGGTTCAGTTTTCCGAGATAGACTGTATGTTGGCCTTCTTCCAGTTGACTCGTGTTATATGGGAGGTCGGATGATCTGATGGATTAGATCGGCTCTTTGAAATTACAGGTATATTGATTGTTGTTGCTCCAGTAACCGGACTATGGGTGGAGAGATTAAATGGGTCTCTGTCCCAGACTTGGATTTCGAGCCCGGGTGCTGATGGTGTCCGTAGTATGTAGTCAATCAACGATGAATGCCCTGTGTAGTGAAGGAACGTCTTAGTTGTTGGGTATGTTGGTTCGGTTATCAATCCCATGTTCTGGATCATGTCTCTAAATTTTCTATTCCCGTGAGTTTGGGGGTTGCATATGTACAGAAGCATTGAAGTCTCCCAAAGCTATAATATCTGAAGTAGGTGAGTATTTTTGTATCATCTCGTGAAGCTGAGTCATGGAGTCTTGAAAGTTGTCTTCCGCGCTGCGCCCTCGACATGGGAGATACGAGTTGATTATGATCAAATCTCTGTTGGTCGCTGGCAGCTGTATTGCGCAGATGAGGGGGGGGATTCCCCTATTCATAACAATGGTATGACGTAACGTCAACAATACAATGACGGCACGTCAACAATCCATCAACGTCACGTCAACCCTGAATTTAGCCTGTAGCGTTATCATTACATTATGTATATGATTTCCCTATCCTACACCTTTGGACATGAAAGAGTCTTATGACTCTACTGGTAAAGGCTAAGTTTGTTTTGAACACGACAGGAATTGAAAACTTATTTTGCAAACTTCCGAAAACGTCTGTTTCCTATGTCAAGCAAAGGGTGAACATGACCGGTGTCTCGACTTTAAACCGCGGAAAACAACTCACTAAGCAAGAGTGTGCAAAATCAGTAATTTCGTCCAATCGTACTCTAACACCACGGGTATTCAGGGGGCAGGTAACATGTTTACTCATTCCGCCCCTTAGTGAATGTTAAAGTGGGGTCGGGGTCATAAAAAATTACTCAGCTGGTGTCCCTCTTCGTCTCTGTTCATCGGTACCCCTTCCATCCTGACCCAGATGAATTCTTTGATTTTTCCTCACTCTCCAGTTGTCCAAGCACTTTCGAACTAGTCATTTCACTTTGCGTATACCATCTTATAGCGTATACTGGATACAAGTGATGGTCTGATTAAACATGTCAAGCGTAATCTCCTGTCATGTTGGAAATGAGCATTTCAAGGAATCGAGTAAACTGATTTCCCCAGCTGATGTCTGGGAGTTTTAGGTAGCTGTATCTGTATATATATAATTATATATGTGAACAGTGAATCCGTGTTAGTATAATGCTTAGTGGTGTTTGATGGTCTGTATGAGAGTGATTTACTCTGATCCTGGTAAAGGAACAGACTGTGGTATGGTCCATGTGCCGGTTAATTAAAAGAAGGGGCTGTGCCAGGCTGCTAATAGAATATCATCATGTCTATCAGAACGGTCCTCAGAGGTTGTGTGGAAATATTGCTATAACTGTTCAATCATGTCTTCGTGTGTAGGATAGTACGTCGTGCCCTCTTTTGCTCTTTAACAAATTTGATCTTGGGTATGATCATAAAAATTACTCGTTCAATATTTAGCAAGCTACCATAAATACCTTTCAGTGAAGAATACAAGTTGTTTGAATCAATCAAGCTGATCGGGAAAATATGCATCGAGATGTTGTTTTGAGCAAAGTACCCTGGTGATATCTAGTGCATTGGTAGTACTTACAGGTAGATTTTAATGACTATCATTGATGACTGAGAACACACGCCGATTGTTCGAACGTTATTTCCAGACATGTTTCTCTGCAAAGAAGTAGAAAAAAATAAAGCGTGTCACATACTTTGTACTCGTGCTAATGTTATGTCTTCTTGTTAAAGATTGCGGACGTACGTCGAGAATTGGAAACCCAATGGGATGTGTTGAGCCGTCTACTTTTGTTTATCGCGCCAGTAGCCATCACCTGGGCAGTGTCCATGTTCGTTAGATTGGCTGGTAACAGGACGTGGGAGGTAGGTTTAACTTCTGTCTGGATGTTAATACCGTTACTTCTTAATAATGTGTATAAATAATCATTGAAATAATGTATTTACGAGTTTGATTTTATTTGTGTATTTTGCCATTTTTAAGTTTTGTCAAATCAATTTACTCAAAGAGGGCCATCGAAGAAACCCAAATGATGTACCCGATGTTCATGGTATATTTTTGAAGTATTATACAGTACCCGCTGTTCATGGTGTATTGCTGTTGTATTATACAGTACCCGATGTTCATGGTGTATTGCTGTAGTATAATACAGTACCCGATGTACCTGGTATATTGCTGTTGTATTATACAGTACTCGAGGTTCATGGTGTATTGCTGTTGTATAATACAGTACCCGATGTACATGGTCTGTTGCTGTAGTATTATACAGTACCCGATGTACATGGTGTATTGCTGTAGTATTATACAGTACCCAATGTACATGGTGTATTGCTGTAGTATAATACAGTACCCGATGTACCTGGTATGTTGCTGTAATATTATACAGTACCCGATGTACCTGGTATATTGCTGTTGTATTATATAGTACCCGATGAACATGGTATATTGCTGTTGTATTATACAGTACCCGATGAACATGGTATATTGCTGTTGTATTATACAGTACCCGATGTACATGGTATATTGCTGTTGTATTATACAGTACCCGATGAACATGGTATATTGCTGTTGTATTATACAGTACCCGATGTACATGGTATATTGCTGTAGTATTATACAGTACCCGATGTACATGGTATATTGCTGTAGTATTATACAGTACCCGATGTACATGGTATATTGCTGTAGTATTATACAGTACCCGATGTACATGGTATATTGCTGTAGTATTATACAGTACCCGATGTACATGGTATATTGCTGTAGTATTATACAGTACCCGATGTACATGGTATATTGCTGTAGTATTATACAGTACCCGATGTACATGGTATATTGCTGTAGTATTATACAGTACCCGATGTACATGGTATATTGCTGTAGTATTATACAGTACCCGATGTACATGGTATATTGCTGTAGTATTATACAGTACCCGATGTACATGGTATATTGCTGTAGTATTATACAGTACCCGATGTACATGGTATATTGCTGTAGTATTATACAGTACCCGATGTACATGGTATATTGCTGTAGTATTATACAGTACCCGATGTACATGGTATATTGCTGTAGTATTATACAGTACCCGATGTACATGGTATATTGCTGTAGTATTATACAGTACCCGATGTACATGGTATATTGCTGTAGTATTATACAGTACCCGATGTACATGGTATATTGCTGTAGTATTATACAGTACCCGATGTACATGGTATATTGCTGTAGTATTATACAGTACCCGATGTACATGGTATATTGCTGTAGTATTATACAGTACCCGATGTACATGGTATATTGCTGTAGTATTATACAGTACCCGATGTACATGGTATATTGCTGTAGTATTATACAGTACCCGATGTACATGGTATATTGCTGTAGTATTATACAGTACCCGATGTACATGGTATATTGCTGTAGTATTATACAGTACCCGATGTACATGGTATATTGCTGTAGTATTATACAGTACCCGATGTACATGGTATATTGCTGTAGTATTATACAGTACCCGATGTACATGGTATATTGCTGTAGTATTATACAGTACCCGATGTACATGGTATATTGCTGTAGTATTATACAGTACCCGATGTACATGGTATATTGCTGTAGTATTATACAGTACCCGATGTACATGGTATATTGCTGTAGTATTATACAGTACCCGATGTACATGGTATATTGCTGTAGTATTATACAGTACCCGATGTACATGGTATATTGCTGTAGTATTATACAGTACCCGATGTACATGGTATATTGCTGTAGTATTATACAGTACCCGATGTACATGGTATATTGCTGTAGTATTATACAGTACCCGATGTACATGGTATATTGCTGTAGTATTATACAGTACCCGATGTACATGGTATATTGCTGTAGTATTATACAGTACCCGATGTACATGGTATATTGCTGTAGTATTATACAGTACCCGATGTACATGGTATATTGCTGTAGTATTATACAGTACCCGATGTACATGGTATATTGCTGTAGTATTATACAGTACCCGATGTACATGGTATATTGCTGTAGTATTATACAGTACCCGATGTACATGGTATATTGCTGTAGTATTATACAGTACCCGATGTACATGGTATATTGCTGTAGTATTATACAGTACCCGATGTACATGGTATATTGCTGTAGTATTATACAGTACCCGATGTACATGGTATATTGCTGTAGTATTATACAGTACCCGATGTACATGGTATATTGCTGTAGTATTATACAGTACCCGATGTACATGGTATATTGCTGTAGTATTATACAGTACCCGATGTACATGGTATATTGCTGTAGTATTATACAGTACCCGATGTACATGGTATATTGCTGTAGTATTATACAGTACCCGATGTACATGGTATATTGCTGTAGTATTATACAGTACCCGATGTACATGGTATATTGCTGTAGTATTATACAGTACCCGATGTACATGGTATATTGCTGTAGTATTATACAGTACCCGATGTACATGGTATATTGCTGTAGTATTATACAGTACCCGATGTACATGGTATATTGCTGTAGTATTATACAGTACCCGATGTACATGGTATATTGCTGTAGTATTATACAGTACCCGATGTACATGGTATATTGCTGTAGTATTATACAGTACCCGATGTACATGGTATATTGCTGTAGTATTATACAGTACCCGATGTACATGGTATATTGCTGTAGTATTATACAGTACCCGATGTACATGGTATATTGCTGTAGTATTATACAGTACCCGATGTACATGGTATATTGCTGTAGTATTATACAGTACCCGATGTACATGGTATATTGCTGTAGTATTATACAGTACCCGATGTACATGGTATATTGCTGTAGTATTATACAGTACCCGATGTACATGGTATATTGCTGTAGTATTATACAGTACCCGATGTACATGGTATATTGCTGTAGTATTATACAGTACCCGATGTACATGGTATATTGCTGTAGTATTATACAGTACCCGATGTACATGGTATATTGCTGTAGTATTATACAGTACCCGATGTACATGGTATATTGCTGTAGTATTATACAGTACCCGATGTACATGGTATATTGCTGTAGTATTATACAGTACCCGATGTACATGGTATATTGCTGTAGTATTATACAGTACCCGATGTACATGGTATATTGCTGTAGTATTATACAGTACCCGATGTACATGGTATATTGCTGTAGTATTATACAGTATCCGATGTACATGGTATATTGCTATAGTATTGTACGGCACCCGATGTACATGGTGTATTGTTGTAGTATAATACAGTACCCGATGTACATGGTATATTTTTGTAGTATTATACAGTACCCGATGTACATGGTATATTGCTGTAGTATTATACAGTACCCGATGT